ATAGTACGGTAATATATCAATTAATTCGCGGCAGCAAAAATAATAGATTTTTCAACAACGCAAATTCAAGTTACATTGTACTAATATACGAATTGAATAATCCTTGACTCGAGCGCTGGATAAGTCAATACTTTTTGATCGATTCAATAAAACAGGAACAAAAAAAATATAAAAATAATAATTATAGGTTGGTGGGCAGTCCATGATAAGTCAGTTATATGATACTTATTAAACTCGATTTCCAGTTTTCGTCCTGCGCGCACAGTTGTTGCCGTTCATGTTTGTTATACTGCCCTCAACGATATTTACTATCACAATGCAAACGACTCGTCATGCGCACGAGGCAGTCACAGTAGTACAGCGGGAAAAGACTGGAACCCCGGGGACTGGGAGCACAGGGAGTAGGACAATGAATTATTAAACAAAAAATACTATTAGAAATTTAGTTTGTCTTTTATCTACCCCTTCATATTCTTCTTCCCAATTACCTTCGCCACCTTTTTACAGAATGGAATGCTCCACTAGTATCAATAGCCATCATTACACACAATATTTTATTTTATTGGAAAACAAAACAAGAAAAAGCGTGGGCTTTGGAAATAACGGAATTAGTGTACAACTAATATTAGTTAACAATAGACTGTATATAACGCATATTTCGTTAATAAATTACGTTTTTTAGAGTTCATAGTTTCATTATGTTTTTTATACGTCAGTTATGTGAGCGCATATGGAACTTTTACCACGATAAACAAAATCCGTTTTGAAAAATAGTTTTAGAGTGTTTGGTAAAATGTTACAGCTTTATCATGTTTTTGTATTTCTGCAGAGTACAAGTATGTCTCAGTAATTCACACCGAAAACCATTTATATACTAAGGCATGCATCGGGGACAATATTATGCAGACATTGCCTAACAACCGATATCAAGAATTATTACTATTTAGTGGTTGTAATTGGCAAAAGCAGAAGGTTGAGATAAAAACCAAAAAAACACGTATATTGTTATATCTGGCAATGTATTCATGCACTCAAACCACCCCATCGCGTGGGATTTGTGACATTGTCTTTTTTAGGCAACTATAAACAGAAGTCCGCCAATAGCATATAAACAGCGCCCTGATCACGATACTTACAATGCATCACGTTTAACCAATTACCGGAACACAACAGTTGGGGAGACCAGTTTTCTTACGAAATTTTTGATCACATTTTACTTTTTGTCTTCGGTATCTACACAATTTTGTCTTGTATGCTGCACTTGAAAAGATAAATGTGTAAATCAATATTTTTGCACAATTTAAAGACAATGGTCGCCACGCAGCGAGTGTTCGAATTTCATGTAAATAAACAATGCATTTCACATGAGTTTTACACAACGCTATGCTACGTGTTTCATATCGTTCAGAACTCGACGCAATGACTGCCGCCCTTTAACGTTAGCTGAGCATTCTACCATCCACTGTTAAAAGTATCAGCATTGTTGGACATTTCAGCACATGCTTCTTGTATATATTTTGTCAATATTATTTGTTTCTGATATTGACTAACATATGAAATGGAATGAACAATCTTCTATGATAAAAAGTAGTAATTCAACAAGTCCGATCATTAATACTTTGATTAAAAAGCAAAACACAAATATCTGACAGCGAAGGATTCAACAATCTGGATACTATTTTTAGGTACTTCCACGCTTGATGTGCTGTACACATTGGATGGTAAATTTTGCTGGAATAAAAGTATCTTGATGCACATTCCCCTCTCAAAGATGGTTATTTCAACATACAACTATAAAAAAATCTCATCTCTGAACAGAAAATCACCTATGACCAGCTCTTGCATACAAGTTTTCAAAATGAAGTGTTGATTTTTTTAATAGAGTTTCCATACGGATAAACCAATAACACTAGGATATATGCAATTCAGATCTACTTTACACCAGAAATGGATTCAATCACATGCACGTTTTTTTTTTATTCAAGTAACGCCACATGCGAGTACCCTTGATTTAAGACTAAAAACGCTGGTTTAATTAAAGAAGTCAACAATGACCAAGTTAGCATAAATCTGCAGCTCAATTTTATTGCAATGAACTGATCAGAACTCCAAATGTACAAATCGGACACGAATACAAGGAAGTTAATTGCAAATATGTGCAACACAAACTTTCAGAGCAATTATTGCTACAAATGTAACAATATACAATCAATATAAATAATTGAGAATATTTTCACAATATACCATCTTGTGTTTATGAATTGAGCCTAACTGCTTGAGCATTCACATCAGTATGCCAATGACTAGAATAGACACGCAGCAAATAATGCTAAGCAAGGTTCTAAATAAACTAGATTCTGAAGCTAAGCAGCAACATTGTCAACAAATCAACTCTAAGATTGGCAAAATTTGGAATACATGCAGTTGATTAGCATAATGGTTCAAGACTGATATGCATTCTATTATAAATTGTGTCAATTTCAAAAATATACAAATTGAGCTTTAGATAGAAAAACTTCAAATAGCACCTGATTATATTGAAATCTTGAACTTCTCTACATACCGTGGAATACAGAAAAAAAGTAAAACCTATGCAATACCAAACGAGTGGAAATTTTTTCTGTCAAATGGCACATGCACAAAAACTGCACCTGGTGTCTTTAATCATATCAAATGCAAACTAGGATTGAATTTTACACTTGTAAATGTGCAATTTATTTTGTTTTATAATTGTTTTGCACATGCGAGTGTATTCAGTTGGTACCACATAGATCAGTATGGTTCTCAAACGCGCACAACAAATATAGCTTTAAACAATACCTTTCTAAAAGAGACATGAATACACACAAATTGATTTCAATATGTACATTGCGTCTCTTAAGATCACAAAATATAACTTTGATTACAGAAAAAAATACTGCTGCTATGAGAATTTAAGTACACAGCTCAAAAACATTTTGAAATAAAGTTAATTTTTACAACTGAAAATAATGAAGCACATGTACTATAGAGGAGCATACATGTATATTGCTCCTACTTTTTAATCTATGTAATACTGATCCAAATTAACCTTCCGTCACAATTTAGTAAATACAGGTTATTATGACATGTAGCAACACAGATCATTTTTTGTACTCTCAGCACAACAATAGCATTCCTTTCATGTTAATATGTTTTACAATTCAAACTGGGCTTTATATTGACAGATTGAATAACATTTAAATATTGTAGACTGATGTCATTGTGCACTGTTCTCATCGACTAAATTGATACAACTGCGATTGAAATTTATAAATATTTATAAAGATGAAAGAATGCCTTTGCTGCGTCAAGAAAAAAACATTAGTTCTAATTGGCCCTTAGAGACTAAGTACTGCTGAGGCTCTGTAAACAACTTGGTAAGACATGTTAAAGATGTAACCATAGCGATGGTGTTAGGATGTAATTCAAATTAAATAGTAAATGCCAATTTAAAATTATACATGTATGAAGGAAAAAAAGAGCAGAAAACAGGTTTGGCTAAACTATCAAAAACAAAAACATAGTACAACAATGCGCTAATAGAAATAAACCCTACATGGAATCTGACCATATAATGAATACCTCCCTCTTGTAACTAATTTCTTACAAATGCTAAATTACTTCTGACCATCCAAAAGTAATACACAATACAATTTAGTAAAGAAAAGTAATTACTAAAACCCATTCAACAGATGATAAGCTGTTGCAAATTCAAAACACAAGTAAAAATATGATCATCCCAATAAACAAACAAAAAACAAATTGTGTAGATATCAGACATTGAAACAATTTGTTGCAACTGGAATAATAAACTTAATTAACAAGAAGTTACTACATTTCATTCCTGCATCATTTATTCTGTAACCTCTGAATTTCATCTGTCAGATGAATAATTTTTTTTTACGCTTTGTATCAATGAACAGTGGGGAATCATTTTGTATTAACGGTACTGTGAAATTACATTTAACATCACGCATTGCAATACCTGTTCTGATTGGTCAATGCAAAAAATGCTTATACTTAAGACGAATCTGTTATGACACCAATATGCGACAATCCTTCAAACCAGTAATATTTACTGAACCAGCAGGCAGAAATGACAGCACAATAAACCACTGTTAGTGTGGACTGCAAAATATTTTAAATGTCACCTGGCTGTATCCAGGCTTTTAGCCAGCCACTGGTCTAGTAATTTTAAACAGGCACTCAACATTTGAGATGCGTACAACATTTCATTTTACAGGCAAAATATTTATAAACTTGTCCAATTTAAATTGAAAATTACATGTAATTTACAAAAAAAAGTCTTTTTATTGACTTAGGACTGCCATCTTTCATTTTTGTAAATATTTTAGGCAGGCACTTTCTATTTTCATGGTATAACCTTGGCTGTATCTAATTGAGGTACTAGTAAAGGATGGACCATAACATCTCATCATAGAACAGATTGAGTTTTGATAATTGATCAAATGAAGCAGGAGGTACACACACACATAGCTCATAAACTTAAAATCAAATTTAAATGAACGACTAGGCCTCACAAAGAAAAATACATTTCAGGTCATTTTTCAAACATGAATTGATTCTTCCTCCCTCAAATACTCGGTGACAACGTATGCAAGATTAATCAATTTGTTAACATAGGCCACTATGCAGTGTCAAAGTAAGTGTGTGAGGGGGGGGGGGTCACACTTTTTGTGAGTGCACATACTGACTAGAAACATTTCTTTTGTTTGGCCTTAACATTTTCAACTCAAGGATCAAAAAGTAAAAGGTTTAAACCTAATTGTGATATTTTCAACAAACTTTGTTCTCATTGGCAATTGCTAGAGCTCACAATTTTATGTGACCAGCACTATACACAAGGCAAGACATGTTATTTAAGTGATGGGGCAAACACCTTCTTGAGCATCGGCATTACCAGCATCTGCAAGATGTGATATGTATAAATTATTCAATAATATCGACATTTGATAAACATCAGCATACAATGGTAGATCACTAGTACCAGTTTCCAACAGCTGTTTTACCTGCAGAAAAAACAAACAATAAAAAGGCATAAGAGACATGAAGCAGGTTATACTAAACTATACTAAAGGACACTATCGCTACAATAGCAGTATCATTAAAAAGACTACTGGAGGGGGGCATATACAAGTCTATATACAAGACAATTATTACACTCCGAGAAGCGTGTCTTGTTTCTTAACCACAAATTTAGCAATAATACGTACAGTGAAAATTTTGGTATAATTGAAAGATAACTGGTTCAATAACATGTAATTCAAGAAAGGTTGGACAAATGAGACAAAAATGATATTTGCTCCCAATGAAGTTATTCAGACAAAATGGACAACGTATTACAGTTCTAGCAAGAGTTGAGAGTGTCTTCCGGTTTCGATTTTTAAATTATGTACAGACACTCACTCAAACACTGATTAGAGCAATTCTTGCTGAAAAATTAGACTGAATTGTCAAGCTTAAAGCACTTGTTGATTTTTTCTTCCCAACATTGAAATTCATTTAAATCCATTCAACCGCAATATATAAAAACCACCCGTATATAAAGACCATTTTGATGAAGTTCGCAATACACAGGTTTGACTATCATTAACCTTATTCAAGTAAAAATGGAGTACGTTAATAATGTGTCAACTTAGTATTGCAATGCATATTCAATAGAGGTTAGAATTTTATTTTTATTTTTTATAAAAGTTAGCTGTAATCAAATAGGGTTCAAAATTAACAACCTGTCATGATTACACTTCACTAATTCAATATTCAGGAAAGGTCAATATTAAAATTAGAGAAGTTCTTACCAGTTTGTTAGTCCATTGGCTTACAAACGGGAAGGGAAATTCTCTTCGTTCCCATTTCCAATCACTGGCAGCAAAGCTGCTAAACAGAGAACCCTGAAAAGAAAACCATAAATACTATGCTTTAATAACCAAGAAGATAAAACAAGTTAAGGAAGGATGTGGTTAACAGGTAAAAAATTAATCTTCACCATTTTTGTTTTCTAAAGATTCGTGTCCTAAAAGTTTGTTAGCCGCTACTATCCTGAAGTATAAAATTAGGGCTCTATGGTGGTGTTCATATGCCCACTGAAAGGTCAGTTTTGAAACTGCTATTCTTTGAAGTGCAATTTACTTTAATTTCATCAACAATACTTGCAATGTTGCTGCACAGACATGCATGATTGATAAAGCATAGTTTCTCCTGATTACTTATTAGTTGTGAAATCAATGCTTTGAAATTTGCTTAATGAGGTGGGCTAGTTCCAATGGAATTTAAATGGGATTTTTGTAATATATTATGATGAAATGCAGTACATTGCAGCATTTTTATACGGGACTCCGGTCGAGTGTGAGCGGAAACCATGGCAC